ATGGACAGAGAGATGCACCCAAATTTAAAAAAGATGTGCAGTGATCATCAAAGTTATGATCACGTCATATATATATATATATATATATATGTATATATCCCTGTTAGTTAATCTGTCAAGCTCCATATCCGGGATGAAACTTGATTTTCATGTGATGACTAGAGCTTTAATTTGCCGTATAAGTCAAAAACCACTTGCTACACAGCTGGAATGAATAAAAAATTATATTAAAATTCCATTCTCTAAATTAAAAAAATTATGAGCCACGCACATTTTAGCACGTTAAGGATTAGAATGCAGACAAGTAAGATGACGGAATTGCGTGAGGATTAGAATGCAGACAAGTAAGATGCACACTTTAGCATGTGAGAGTTTATAGAAGGAATTGCGTGAGGAATTGAGAGATTAATGCACTCGCTGATCTTTTCCATCCAAGAATTCTGTTACAACTTCTGTTATGTACCAATAGCTAACCCCTAGCATTTACAAGTCTGCCATCATCAGTTTGTTACACAATCGCAAAACACAGCCCTTACACTTGTAACTATTTACAGATATACACAAATACTGGTCATGTGCACTGCACGTGCTTTATTTCTAATAGTTTGTACAAGGATTGTTTTCAAGAGCAAAAGGGGAAGGTACAGGGCACTTGGTATAATTTAAGATAATCTTTAAATACTTGTAACACAATCAATTGACCTTAAAAGAGGAGAAGAATAAGAGATTGAAGGGTTTTCTTTTTTTTTTTCCTGTTAAATGCATAAAGATTGGAATAAAAGCCACAGGATTTCCAAGAACTTGAATTTTTGAGAAATCAAATACATTATATTTTATTATCTGTATTTCCATAAGAAAATAATGAATGAAACTGCATTATCTTATTTTCATGTAAATTTATTGATTTCAATCCTTTATTTTACCATATTTATGATCCCGTCTCCTTTCGCGGTATATTTATATTCTTGATTAATTTTTTATTGAGAGAAAAAAATCATATGTATAGTTTAGACACAATCATAACACATTATTATGATATTGTAATTAAACGAGTTTATATTTAAACTAATCATACTTCATATAATAAATGCATTCACATGTAGATAATAGATTAAAATGATTATGTTTGATACACTGAGAGATTTAAAAATAAATATTATCAATGTTTTTAATAAAATAAGAATAAATTTTTATCTCTTTCCAACTCTCTCTTATCCAATCTATTCTTCTTCTTCTTCTTCTCTCCTTTTTCGTCCATGATCAACAACAGAAACCTAAATCCAATGATCATTGCTATAATTAAACTCAAACTCCATCAAAACTTGGACAGAAAAACTAGTGTTGCAATCATTCATAATGAACAAATAAAATTTAATTGGCTACTCTTAATTTTCACATTGAAATAGACTTTGTAAAGTAAAAGCAAATATAAAATATTGTGAAACTGCTACATTGAGGCCCGATTATCTAACAGAAAGATAAAAGAGTACTCATCAGAAAAATTAACAAGAAAAACTAATGATTAATTTTCAATGAAAGGAAAATTATGGAAAATTAACAACTATTAAATGATTAAGCTTACTTTGACTTTAATTCTTTTGGTGTCTTTACTAGATGGCTGATAATTTAGATGTAGTATCTACAGGACAATGACTTTAGTTCAACTTTATTTCTTAAGGTTTATTTTTTAAAATGAATTTGAATTAGTTTTATTTCCTCTTTTATTTTTAGTTTTGAATCAGTTTTTCTTGGTGATTTTCTAATAACTTTTTTCTATTTTAATTAAACTACAGCATGATACATCAATGTTTCATTACATGTTGTATTTGCTTTGCTTTACAAAATCTACTCCAATATGAAAATTAAGAGTTACTAATTGAAATATACTAGGTTGATTATAAATGATTACAAACACCAGCTTTTTCGTTCAAGTTTTGATTGAGTTTAAGTTTAATTATAGTAACAATTACTAGATTTAGGTTTCTATTGTTGATAATGGACAAAACAGGAGAGAAGAAGATGAAATTGGGTAAGAGAGAGTTGAAGAGAGATAAAAAATATTTATTTTTTTGTTATTTAAATTATCTTTTTTAAGAAATTTATAAATATTTATTTTTAAGTTCATCAAAGAATTATATTTTTTTAAGAAATGGTACTATTTCATGGCGTGACAATATGTAGAAAGTATACATTGTCAATGTATCAAATATAATTTTATAAATTAACTAAGCTTAATACAAATATGTCACGTCTAACTCATTTGATTAATCATGTTATGGTATAAACACGTATAATATGACAAGCTTAACTTGATTATGATACCCATTTAAATGTGAATATATAAAGATCGTTTGAATAATATTATTACTTTGTCATGATTGTTTTATGATTATTAGTTTTAAATTTGAATAATGGAGTTATGATTTTATTCTTGTATATATTAAAATTAAAGTATTACTAGGAACTAATTTTTTGTTTAAACCTGTGATTCTTTCAAAAAAATTTTAAGTAGGTTAATTATCCTAAACTGTATAATGTCATATAAAATTCAATTCAATGTGCTAATCATGTCATATCATATAACACATGTAATAAGCATATTTGTGTACGTATTTAAGATCTTAATTCATTTAATTAATAATATTGTGTTTATGTTTATGTTAACTTTTAATATTTACCTAAAATGAATTACCAAATCTATTCAAGGCTATTATTTCTATTTGAGTAATAATTCTTTTGAAATTACTTTCTATATAATACTCCCTCTTTTTCCGTTTCATATATTCGATTTTGTTTACATACTTTTCGTTGTCCCATTTGATATCTCCTTTGAAAATTTAAAAAAAAAAACTCTTACTCTCATTTATTACTCTTAAAATAACCACCACTTTTTTCTTTCAAGCAAAGGATAAATTTTTTAAAAAAATTATAATTAATGAAAGCCAAAATTTAACTTAAAATTTTTTAAACTTCATACAAAATCAAAATCAGACGACTAATAACTTTTTTTATTGGATAAATGAATAACCAATAGGAAGCAAGAAATACTTGGTATCAAGGAAACAAGAATAGAAATAATGATAAGTTTTAGCCTAAATACTCAATAAGCCCCTAAATTAAAAAGTTAATTAATCTTCTATCTTTTATCACGTTAAATTAAATTTTTAAATTTTTATTTTAAATCAAATTAACTTTTTTAACTAACTATTAATTAACGAAGTTAGTCGACATTATAGTTGATAATATTATACCATATCATCTACCACATACTAATAAACTTGTCACTTAAGAATTGTGTGTTTATCTTTTTATTTTGATATATGTCTAAAAATGATTAGTTTAGATATTTGAAAAGAAAAACCCAAAAAGCATCAAACTAGGTCTTTATTGGATATGTTCCTTAACCTTGATTTAGGGTTTTTAATAAAATTTAATAAAATTATATAAAAAGACAAAAAGAAATCTCAAAGTGTAGGATTTTTTAATAATTTATTTTATTAAAATTTAGGAATTTTTTGTCATCTTAAATAATTTATCCAAGACTGAGCACAATGTCTGAGCCTTGTAACACCTTATTATTTCTCCCTTCAAAAATGTCTTTCTTCTCCATTTTTCTTCATTTTCAGTCAACTCTCTATCTTAGTTTTGTACATATCCATGGCGGATCTAAGCTTAAACCCATTAATTATGGATCCCATCTTTGTGTCCTTCGCTATGTTCCAAGGGGATTACTTGGGCAGTTGGCTAAGTGTGTCGTGGAGTTGCCACCACTTAAGACTATATGAAGAAGGATATCCAAGATCTATTTTCTCTTTGATTTTCCGTTGAATTTTCGACTTTCATCCGTTTGACAAGAGAAAGAAAAGAAGCCAGACCAGAGAAATCTGGAGCAAAACATGTGGCTGGCGGCGTCATGCCATTGAAAATGTAGGCTGGATCTGAGCTCTCAAAGTCAAATCTGGACCCGATCGTCAAAACAATAAGTTTCCACATGAATGTGATGTAAGAATGCATCATTGTTGGCAATTTGAAGCCATACTTTAATTGGGAGGAAAGGGGCTTGAAGGGAAACGAAGTATCCCACGCATACCAGAAACCAAGTTTACTGAACGAGAAAAAATTCGAACTTTATTTTTAAAATAGAACGATTACACATTAACTAATTAATTAAATACTTCAATGCAAAGACATTCTCCTCTTGCTTGTGTCCAAACAAATCTCTAAGTTTAGGGTTTTTTTTATAATTTATTTTAATAAAATTTAAAATTTTTGTTATCTTCTAAATAATTTATTAAATTTTATTAAAACCCTAAATAAAGATACATATTTGATAATAATGAAGATTTAGTTTGATTTTTTTTTTTGGGTTTTTATTGTTTCAAATCTCTAACCACAAAAAGATAAAACACAATTTATAAGTGATAAATGTTTTTCACATGTAATATTACCGTCATCAAAGTGACATGTACATGACAAATGTGACAAAATTATCAACAACTGTACTGTTAGTTAATGAAAATTAATTAATTGTTAATAAAAAAAACTTATTTAATTTAAAATAAAAAATTTAAAATTTTAATTAAATATAGTAAAAGATTAAAGACTTCATTAAAATTTTTTTTAATATAGCCCATAAGGTTATTTGAGCATTTAGCCTCCTTCATAGTTTCGGAACATGTTGAGAGCTCTGGTGTGAACTGCCTCCTTTTTGGTTGGGGGATGCCACTGTGAAATGTCTCCCTCCAAATAATGGAAGTAAAACGAAATTGGGTGATCCAATTTTCCTGGCCTCCGAATTCAGGTCAAATCTGTCAACTATGAGAAGTGCAAATAATATGATTAATGGTTACCAGCCTCTTTTCTGCCTTGACTAGTCAAAGAGACTATAAAGACGTGAAACCACTTGAGATTGCGAGTAAATCCGCCAGACTTGACAAAACTAGCATTTCCAGCCGATATACCTCATACAATGTTCAATTGATAACTTAAGCCACCCACATTTGCTTGGACTAGGAGCAGCTCATCACAAAAATGAGATTCCATATTAAATAGCACAATATCTCATGGTAATTCATCTCCTTTCAGAGATCTTTTTTCTTTACACAACAAAATTCACAGTGATTACTACATCCCGAGGCACACTTTCTTCATTCTGTTAACACCCTAAGCAACATAATATCTACAATAACTGCTGCAAACAGATTTCATAAGAACATTTGAATTCAGGTTTAAGAGAGGTGCTTCACAATATTGTTGGTCTACTCTAGAATCAGACAGTGTGGAAGAACAACTACACCTCACCATCTCGCACGCTTCTCAGTTCTCATACCCTTTCCCATAGGTTCCAGCCAACTATCTTCAGTAATCCTCAAGCTATTCCTCCTGGTCTATTAAGAGGTATCCTCATTCCATATGAAACCCAGCTCCTACCAACCGCAATTGGTTCACTCTACTTACCTCTATCTCAAGATGCACAATTCTTAAGTGAAAGCTTTAGATATCACTGTTCTCTGTTGATTGAGCATACAAAGAACGTGCCATAGCAGCATCACCCACTTTCTAGCGAAGCTTACTCCAGTATGAGCTGCATGAGTTCTACAACATGCCGCACAATCTTGCCTGTCAAACATTATGTGATTTGCTTTGGCAACTATACCAACATTCTAATGTTCAAACAACAAATACATAGAGAATCCATCAACAGAAGTACTAAACTGCTTCTCCTTTAAATAAAAGAAGCTGTCAGAAAGTTTCATCTGCATCAAATTCCATGCCTACATTCTCTAATATAGGATTTAATCGAGCAACAGCCACAAAATTTGCAAAAAGCTACAAATGAAGCAACAAAGTTATAAATCAAATTCTCACAATAACCTTTGTTACATTAGACCAAAACTCCATGCTCGCTTGGTTGGCAAAAACAAGTTATATATGAAGAATTTCAGGAAAACACAGCTCATGATTTGTTCAACAAATCATTGATGTTATAGAGAAAGTTGCTAAACTGTACACCACTAAATACTTACAAATGTGAAATGACTATTTTGTGCCCTATATCACTTAATTTCAAATGAATCTAACTTGATTGTAAACCTATTGTATTTTTACAACATCTGATACAATTTTTAACTTATGAGGCACAAAATCTCAACCAACAAAAATTAAGGTGAGCATACCAATCAGGGGAAGCACCATTGGAGAGCTCAATGATCCTATCATGTTAGGATGTGCTTATATAAACCTTCTGTTTAAGAGCCTGAACTTGTCCCTTCCTCCTTACTTCCTGAATGATGGCTACTTTCATGTGTAAACATCTGATAGCCAGCAGGACTGGAGAGCTGACCTGAGCCGTTACTGCTTATAGATCTTTCAATGTCATCAATAAGCGCTACCAGAGGAATTGGGCGTTCAGGGATTGAGGGGACTGAAATGTCTGTTTCCAACATTTTCACAACCTGATCCATGGATGGCCGGCATAGTAACTCTGGATGAGAGCAAAGGACAGCAATCAACACATACTTCTCCAGAACTTCTGGTGGCCCCAACTCTGGCATGCCATCTTCAATAACATCCAAAGTTCTCTCATCCTTCACCAACGACCATGCCCAATCAGCAACTAGAGAAGGTTGGTTCTCCTCACTCATCGTAAGCGCTTTCTTTCCACTCAACAGCTCAAGAAGCACTACACCAAAGCTATACACATCACTCCTCTCAGTCAATTGCCCATACAACGCATACTCAGGGGCTACATATCCCATTGTCCCAGCTACCCTAGTGCTCAAATGTGTCATTCCCTCAGGTGCAAACTTTGCAAGTCCAAAATCTGCTACCTTGGCCTCAAACATCTCATCCAAAAGTATATTACTCGCTTTGATATCCCTATGAATGATTGCAGGTTGTGCCCCATAATGCAAATAAGCCAGTCCCCTAGCTGTCCCTAGTGCAATCTTTTGCCGAATAGGCCAACTAAGTCTTCCTTCCATGGAACCAAACAAATGATCATGCAAACTCCCATTCTTCATTAAATCACAAACAATTATCCTCTGATGACCCTCTAATGGAGTTGTAGCTGTACAATATCCCCTTAAAGCAACAAGATTCACATGCCTAACACTAGCAATAACCTCAACTTCATGCGTAAAATTGGCATCACCGGTAGCAGAACAATTCTTGAACCGTTTCAAAGCAACCTCAGAGCCATCAGGCAAGTAACCCTTGTACACATTGCCATAACCACCTCTTCCGATAATGTTATCTCTAGAGAAATTCCTAGTAGCTTTCTTAATCTCGTCAAATGTAAACTTAATCAAATTAGTACTTTCACTAATTGAACCCAACCCAGAACCACCCAAACTACCCATCTCAAGATTCCTAATTTTGTCCCTCCTTTTTCTCCTCTTAGCATCCTGATATTTCCTATAAACAAACCAAGACCCACCAATCAAAACGGCTAAACCGATACCAACCCCGATTGAAACACCCAAAATCACACCTTTTTTCTTACTCTTGCCAGTACTATTATCACTAAGATCAAATGAAAACAAACAAGAGGCCGTACCTTCATCAGTCGGTCCCAAGTAATTAGCAACAGCAGCTGCATAAATAGACGGGTAGGCCGTACAGTCGGACACGTTTGCAGTTGAATTGTCCGGCAAGTACAAAGCTTGCACAGTGGCTAAGCTTCTAGTACAGGAAGCACAAGCGGAACCCTGCAAAGACTGGTTACAGTTTGAAACGACGTCAGCCAAGGTAGTGTTTGGGATCAAACCTTCGAATTCGGACTTTGTGGCTAGGTTCATGCAACCTTGGGAGATCCAAGCGGTTTCGAAACCGCACGAGGAACGGATGTCGAAGTTTGGGACGAGGGATTGGTAAGATTGCCAACAAGACTCGGAGGAGTTTAAGGGTGGAAAGAATGATCCGGTGCGTCTAAGGTAGTCGGAGAGGACGAGGCGGAGGCCCTGGCGAATGTAGTGGCACTCCATGGAGGTGTTCATTTGTCGGAGCCTGTTGGGGTTGGAGAGGATCGGGCGCAGGATGGTGAAGTTTAAAGGACATGATACGTTACTGTCTTGAGCAAGTGGTAACGATGGGAAGAAAGTTAGGATGAGGAAGAAGAGAAGATGGTGAAACTGAACGGACATTTGGAGGAATTGGTTATTAGTTAGCAATTCATTGGGGAGATGCAGATGAACAGAGAGAGAAGTGGGAGTTGTTGGGAGGGGTTTTGGTTTTCAATTTTAGTTGTACTTAGTGAGCTTTGACTTGTAAAGAGGAAAGGAAAGGAGAGAAGTTGGAGATGAGACGTGATTAATGAGACAGACACTGCTGCGAGAGCAACGCGGGCTGCTTCTTGTGTTACGCCATCAGCATCAGAGGATGGAGGGAGAGAGAGGCAAGTAAAACAAAACAAAAGAACAGTGAAGTGAAGAGAGAGAGAGAGAGAGAGGGGGGGGGGGGGGAGGGGCGGCTGAGAACGAGCTGGCAAGTTCGTGGAAGGTTGTGTCGTGTTATATCGTCGATTTAATGACGTGGTTGGTTTTTGCTTCTTAAGTCGATGTTGACCTGTATATAAGTCAGATGTTTTTTTCCTTAGAAATCAATCCATTTAGATATTCTAATTGCTATTGCTAATTGTTTAAAGAAAGAAAAATGCTTAGTTATTGCAATGAGTTATGAAATTTGATCAGTATTTGTATAGGAAAGAATTTAAAAAAAAAAAGGAAAAGAACAAGGTTGTGCTAAATTCCAAAGTTAAAATAATTTTCAATTCAACATAATGTCTTTTATTTTCTTTATTAATGTATGGTTAAATTTCAATCCCTTGTATAATATAAAAATATTATCGACAATAGAACGAGAATATTCTTGAAATCAAAATAGACAGAGACTAATACGATTTTATTACAAGCAAAGGTGCTGTCGGCTAATGTCTATGATGAAACATATGGCGTATTTCTATCCCAATGCCACGCTACAAAGTTCAGTCCCCGGACGGAATCCAATCAGAGCAAGGAAGTCAAGAATCTCAATTTTTGAGTTGTGCCATTTCGAAAACAATTTTACCCTTGAAACTGGTTCAAGCAGAGGGGAACAACAGAAATGGTCCCCCGTGGCCATGGATATATATTTCCTTTTCTCAGAATAAGGTTCCAGATGCCTTTGCCTGCCAACAATATGAACTTTCACCCTTGAAGCAAAACCATCCCTCTAAAAAGCTGCTTCTTGTTCCCCTCTTGCTGTGCGTTTTTGTTCGATGTAGTCTGCCACTATGGGCTTTTCTGCCTTCTTACATGGTTTCCTTTCCCGACCAAACAAGACGTTTTGGATTCCGTCGTTGAAAGTAGAAACCAAGCATCCAACTATGACAAACTTCAATAATCTTTGCCTTTGGTCTCATCCTTAAATATGGTAAGTAACTTATATTTTTAATATTTGATTCATTAATTGATACATAATATTATATTTAATGAGTAAAATTTAAATTTTATATTTTAAAATTAAAAAAAATTATATTTTTATACCAAATACAATAACCCATGAATGAAAACTCAAAAACAATTAACCCTCCCTGCCTGAAAATCACTTTTAACTGATGTCGAAATTGTTAAATTTTGTTTTGTTTACAATACGTGATGACTTGATGAGGTTAGCTCTCTTCCATTTCCGTACTTTTCTTATGTAATTATGAAAATATTTTTATTTTTTAAGTTTAGATCAAAATTATATAAAAATTTATTACTTTTAAAATAAATATTTTATTTTAAAAATATAAATACAGTTATTAAAAATTATAAAAATATTAAAAAATATATTTTTTATTAATTTAAAAATTATTATTATATTTTTAAATAATTAAAAAATAAAAAACATCTATCAGTGCTTTCCAACTCACCAATAAAGGGGAGCACCCAGGTTTCCAAAGGGAGCTCTAGTGCTATCACATGAGGAGCTTTTTTTATTTAATTAATAAAAAATAAAAAATATAAAAATTATTATAAAAATTAATTAAAAATAAAATTATCTTTTTACTCTTATTAATTAACAAGTTAACAAAAATATTAACAGTTGATTAAGGATTAAATTTACATGTCTAATGAAAAATATTTTTTTAAAATAAAATATCTGTTTTAAAAATTAATATATCTTTATATAATTTTGATTAAATTTTAAAAATAAAAATATTTTATGTAAATATTTTATATTGATAGGTATTTTTCGTCGTAAGTTTTATGTCATTATATGATCAATGTTTCCTTTTGTGTTTTTTTTAAACTTAATCCAAACACCAAAGTCTCTACCTCTCTGTTTGCAACAACATCAGTCTTTGGTAAGAACCAATTGGCCTGAAGCACATGCTGCTTCGGATTTGACGCTGCAGTCCTTGATAAATGCTTCGATGGGCGATCAATGGACATCAAATTTTACATATATTCAACATAATATATCGACGGAAGCGAATTTTTTTATTTAAAAAAAAAAGAGATTCGAACATATTTATTTCCTTACTTAATCCAAACATAAAAGTCTCTATCCCTGTTTTCTTTATTCAAAAAATTTAAAATAATATATTAATCAATAAATTAAATATTCAAATATTATCCAAAAAAAGGAATCAATATTCTTAACTTTCACGATTTAAACACTGAAATATATTTATATATAAATTGTGGAAGTAGGGAAAGACTACAGAGGAAGCAATAGGAGCCTAATATAATATTTCAACTAGCACTTTGAAATACCTATCTATAAATATATATATATATATATATATGTACAGCTATAAATCATGAATCAGGTGTAACTACCATAATAACTTTGTTTGTGCAATTTATTTATTTGAAAGCGAGTGTAACTCTCCAATAATTGAAGAATGTAGGCAACCCTGGCATGTTATCGTCTCAATAAAGCTACCAATCATAACAATATGGTCCCTAGAAAAAACATATTTAATTATTTTCAAATTTTTAAAGCTAAGGAATTGGGAAACCTGTCCTCTTACCAGCTTAATTAATTTAACTATTATATAGAATTCAGCATTAACCATCATATATAAAGAGCTTTGGACTGTTACAGGCTGCTTTACTCTGGTTCTCCTACTTGGATTACAACAAGCTGCTTGTGTTATTCATTATTAAATTAAATATAAATAAAGTAATAACTTCACCTTTTTAACGAACCACTTTGGGCCTGCTTAATTTCTTCACTCCGACCTTCCTGTCCCCCTAACCTCGGTTTAACGCTGTATTTAGATTTGTTTGTAGTTAATTTGTTTATTTCATGAAATTTTTTAAATTGGCACTTGACCTCAGCCATAAAACTCAACAAATAACGTTAAATATCATTTACTGTTATTTTTATTATTTATTTTATTCAAATTAATTATATTTTTGGAATGATTTTGATGTTATATGGTGTACTCAATAACTTAATTTGATCAAAACTTTTAGTGAATATTCTATTAAATACTTCATTTAAACATGTAAATTATGAATTTTTAGAATTGATTTGAAAATTTAATGAGCTAACACGACGAAAAATGTAATGATAAGTCTAATAATTTTCAATATGTAACTCCAAATTACAATGACCAATTAATTTATAAAACTGAAAATTGCTATTATCAATTCCAAAAGTTAAAATGAAATCTCTCAATTTTCGAATTAAAAAAAAAAAGAAAGTTCACTGTTGACTTTAATTAAATATTATATTTTGTCTGAATTGTTAATGGTTAGGTGGAGTACTTGTGTATCTCCCTCTTTAACTGCAGATCTGATCCAAAGTCAAATTTATTGAGCAAAAATCAACTCAAAGTTGGTCATTACAAAATTCTTGGACAATTGCCAAACTAAACTAACACTACTATATTATTCCAACGAATGACCTAACAACGCCTGCATGGAGCATTAATGTTTGGACGAGGGCCACTGCATGTACTCGAATTTAATTTATTAAACAAAACCCATCGAGATATGAACAATTTAATTAGTATACAATACTAATTAACTAATATAATATAGCATTAACTAATAGAAAAATAAAAGGGTATTGTAACTAATACCACTACTTAACTTAATTAGTGTTTTTCGGTAAAATTTTCCCTCGACTAGTATACAATTCTTAAAATTTTGATTTGGTCACAAAATTAACAGATTTAAATTAAATTTTATTTTTTGAATGCAAAACATTCTTAAGTAATCCTTGCTAATATTTCTTTTTGAATTTTGTTTGTTTAATGATTTAAAATGTCAAATTTATGCACGTGAATTTTGAATTGGTTATAACTTACTATTTAAATCAAAATATATGCTTATAAAAGAAAACAATTTTTAGCTATTTTCGTTTGTATTCTTCATTTGTTCTATATATAATTAGCGTGACTAGTATATATAATGGTTAACGGCTTGAAATGTCCATTTATGCACGTGGATTTGGAATTGGTCGTGATACTAAGAGATTGAAAAGTAAATCCTTACAATAGGAAACGTTTTTAAGCTATTGTCACTAGTATTTTTCTTTTATTATCTTGGTCTGAATACTATATATATATATATATATATATAGAATAAAATGAGAATGTTGGTGGCTAATTTTTCAGATTATGTGTCGACATAATAAAACTGTGTGAGGAAGAGGAACCCAAAGCCAAAAGATGACAAAACAGAAAGAAGAACATTATATAGTAATAAGTTGATAACTGTTTTTCACCAAAAGAAGAGAGTTGTTGACACAGCAAAATCTGGTCTTAATTCTTAACAAATCAGCTCTTTAACGTAAGACCCAAACGAGAGCAGCCACCAACCAAAGGGGAAGAAACCCCTCCGTTATTCTGCATTTCAGCTTGTATCCCAATCAAACCACTCTCAAAAGTGACTTCAAGTTCTAGTCTATCATATTCTTATGAATCAAGCAACGTGAGATCTTTTTATTACCAACCCAAATAAAATAAAATAAAATAAAATAAAATAATGAATATGTGGTCTGCAAAGGAAGTGTAGGAGAATCTGGCAGTGGTATTTGGTATGATTAGTTATGACAGTCTCTTGATTTGGAGGTAAAGTATGTCCCTAATCATTTCCTTCATCTCTAAGTTTACTTGTTGGCGGTTTTTGATATATGAATAGCTAAGTAAATTACACTACTTGTGCTTATAATGATTTCAGTGCCATTTTTTTTTTCATATAGTTCTAATGAAGATTTGATATATTGATTTTTCTTAAGGCTAAACCATTTATTAGTAACGCTAAGTAAGGACTACTTGGCTCTAAGATGATCACGGCCTCCGTGGACTTATTTTTTTAATATTTCATTTAGTCAAATAAATAATTAAAATTAGTAAAAAGAAAAAGGAAAAATAAATTTATTTAGAATATAAAAAAAACAAATTTAACATATACCGATACACAAATATAAAGCACTCATACTTTATATAATTGAGTTGAATAATTGTATGTATTTAATGAACAAGTTGATCTTTTATTTTTCATTAGTGGTAAATCTCAGTGATTTAGGATTTAAAACATTTTGCATTGGAGAAAAGGAAGGTTGAGCAAAATGATAAGATCATAACATTGTACACAAAACCTAAACTAAACAAGTAATTGTGTTAGTGTGTGATTATCTTGTCTAAGATTTTATTAGAAAGATTCGGGAATAACAGTGTTTGAGTCTTTCAAACTTTGTCTCTTTTCCTTAGATCTTTCAGATTTTTTACCTTAAATAAAGCCAAATAACTCGTTGAACATTGAACGCTATTAATTTTTCACACATATTTTCTTAAAAGAAAAAAAAAGAAAAAAAAAGGGAATTATTCATGTTGCCCCTGTTTTCTCTGTTCCGTCGTGAAATCAAAACTAGTGCGGTGTTCTTCGGCAGGACACACTAAAATCCAAGGGACAAAACTCCACGTGTTTAACTTAGTCACGTGCCACTCGAAGGGGAGAACTAAACGGAAGCCGTCTCTGACCTGACCAATCAAAGCATTTCAAGTACGGATAAGAATCTTAAACCATTCCAATTACCTAGTACTCCACCTCGTTATTTAATTTCCCTAACTCTTTTATTTCTCTTAATTAACTATTTAAACACCACCTGTATTTACTTGTAAAATAAATACTACTTTTTTTTTATTTCTTTTTCCCGAAAGAAATCATTAAAAACAATATTCTTCGAGAAGCAAGTGATCATAAAAGCTTTGAGTAACTGCAAATTTATGTGCACCTCTTCTTTCTCTGTCCCACCCCCTTTGTTCCCCATTCCTCTGTTGTTTTTTCTGTTGTTTGCTCCTTGTCAAATATTGTCTGACTATTTCTGTAGAGTTTCAGCTTCTTCTCAAGGGTATGTTCATCATCTTTGCTTCTTCTTCTTCTTCTCTTTTTTTTTTTTCTGGGGTTTCTTATCTTTTTGTCGTTTTAGCATTATTGCTGCTTAGCTCAGAGATTTTTGCATGTTTTTTGTTATTTCGTTAAGCTTTGTTTCATGTCTTTGTTCTCTGTCTAGGCTTCCCCTCTATATCAGTTTCTCTGTGTTGGGTTGCTTCCTTTTCAACATAAGTACATTGGTTTTTTTTTTTAATATAGTCCGGGAAACGTGTTTCTATTTTGTATTTGTTCTATTCTGTTTACCGAGTTTGTTTGGTTTCTTCAAAAATTCTAACTTTTTGTAAGAATCCATCCTTTATCGTTGCACTCATGTTAGTGCTTAACTGCTTATTCATTGTTCATTTAATATTTGGCTTCTTTTAGCCTATGTTTTAGGTGATTCTTAACCTTCTCTGGTTGTATTTGTAGAGAAATCAAAACGAATTTGCAAGTTAAAGGGTAGGAGACAAGAAAACAGAGTAGTATGTTCTTTCCCCTGTCTCTTTTCAGGGATGCTGCAAAGAGGTTTTTAGTTTTGGTTTCTCCGCGTGATCTTTAGATATGGAGAAGAAGGTGGATACATGTTCTCCAGTTGGAGTTCTTGAGGATTTCTTTAGGAGTGAAGAATTTGAAACGAGTTCTTTTAAAGCACCCACCACAGACTCTGCAAATGAGCAAAACTCAAAGCAAGGTTTTCGATGGCGTGGATTTGCACAGCTCTTTAGAAGTAGATCCAAGAAATCATTAGCCAATTTGCAGCCTTTTGGATCGTTCAGACTCTCACTAAGAAGGAGCAGCAGTATGAGAGAAAATGTTGCTGTCGCACCGGATTTTCTTGCCAATAGCAGTTCATATAACCTCAAGTCTCCGAGGAAGGTCTTCACTCTTTGTGAGCTTCAAATTGCCACCAAAAACTTCAGCAGTGGTTTGTATTTTCTGGAGTACTTAGTTTTGACTTTAAACTGAAATCGATCTTTTCTTCCGCTTGAAATTTGATTACGGCATGGCTTAGTAAGATGTTCTTGAATTTGGTTTGCTGTTGTGCAGAAAATCTTATTGGAAAGGGTGGTTATGCTGAAGTTTACAAGGGAAGTTTGCCAAATGGGCAGCTTGTTGCCATTAAACGGCTAACAAAAGGCACACCCGATGAGATAATAGGGGATTTCTTGTCGGAGCTTGGGATTATGGCCCATGTGAACCATCCTAACACTGCAAAGTTAATTGGCTATGGAATTGAAGGTGGAATGCATCTTGTCCTTGAGTTGTCTCCAAATGGAAGCTTAGCTTCTCTTCTATATGGTTAGTTCATGATTTCTGGAAATGCTTGATTATGAACAATTAATTTATACAGTTATCAGAATCCTGTTCTAGATATAGCATATAATTCAATTCTTACAGGTTCAAAGGACAAACTGAAGTGGGGTATCAGGTTTAAGATTGCTCTAGGCGCTGCTGAAGGTTTAAGTTATCTTCATGAGGGTTGTAAGAGGAGAATCATCCACAGAGATATGAAGGCTGCAAATATCTTGCTTACAAAGGACTTTGAGCCTCAGGTACCCTTCAAACCAATACTCTGAAATGTGAACATTCTGGCTATCCATTTAATACATAATTGAAGTAGGCTTCACTGTTCTGTTTCTAATTGTAATATTTACATTAGTAACAAAAGGCTACAAGTTTGGTGACGGAATAGAGGAAAGTTGGTAAAGAAATGTAAATTTCTTCTATTTCTTCTTGCACAAAATTTGGTTGGTGTTCTTCAATTAGTAGTTACTTTTTCTTCAGATTTGTGACTTCGGGCTTGCGAAATGGCTACCAGAGCACTGGACTCACCATACCGTATCCAAGTTCGAAGGCACATTCGGGTTCGTATATCTAACAGGCTAATACTACCCGTCTTTGCAGTTATCTGTTGGAGATTCTATAATCAAATTAATTCCTTTATTGCTTACTGTTGCAGCTACCTCGCTCCTGAATACTTAATGCATGGCATAGTAGATGAAAAAACTGATGTTTTTGCCTTTGGTGTGCTGTTGCTGGAACTAGTAACTGGACGCAGAGCTCTGGATTACTCTCGGCAGAGCCTTGTATTGTGGGTACGCTTCTTCTTTGTTTTCTACTTACTAAAGCACCACATCATTCTCAAGGACTCCCTTGTATATGCACACACACATCTGAGGCAAGTGCCAGCAAAGTAAGCAGCTTATAATCAAAGGATTTGGAATTTAATGCTTTTCTAGGCAAAACCCCTGCTAAAAAAGAATGACATTAGAGAGCTTATTGACCCTGCCCTTGGGGAAGATTACAATTCTCGACAAATGAATCTTGTCCTCTTGGCTGCTTCTTTATGCATACATCAGTCTTCAATTCGGCGCCCTCAAATGAGTCAGGTATGTTAAGAAGTTGAAAGTCAATTTGATCTATGTGTTTGATATAGCAGCTTTGACAACTTTTAGATTCATTTTTAACAGTTACTTTTGAATATGTCATGCAGGTTGTACAGCTCCTTAATGGCAATCCCAACAGCCTAAAGAGCATTAGAAAATGCCGGATCCCGTTCTTCAGAAAAGCTTTCCATGAAGAGATACACACTGCAGAAGATCTAAGCTCAGCCAAGAGTTAAAAGTGGGTTTCGAATGGAACAAACAGGTTGCTGTAAAATTCTAGTGTAAACTACTATGATCTACCCTTTTGGAAGAGCGAGGTTTGTGATCAATGGGGCTTCAACTTGTTTGTGAGAAGCAGGCTATGGGTTTTGCTCCGTTCATTCCACCAACGACACGTGAGAAAAGAACAAGTTCGACGGAGAAAAAGAGGGATGTTGTTTCGGCTACATAAAAAGAATTCCTAAAAAGAACAGAATAGGCATGAGAAGAAACTCCGAGGGACAAAAGCAAAAGTAGTGCCAGTGTCTTTGAGGACATGTACATAAAAGAATCCTAGGGAACAAAAGTAAGGAATATTCCCTGGTTTAGTCAATTTTGTAGGAGAAATATGTCAAAGAGCCTTGTCTTTTTCTTTTAAAGTAAGTTAAGTTATGACAAATCCTTTAAAGGATCCTGAATCAAAAGATTCGTTACCTCTGCTACAGTTCCTGATCATCGGTCGGGCTTAATCATCATAAAACAACAAACAAATCACTTCTTCCATCACCTTGGATTGGCACAAAGAAATAGCTAACTAAAATCCTTTCTAGATTAGATCACATCTTCTACTTAAATTACGTCTTAAGTTCAACAATTTAGTATAACTTTGATGTTGAATCTGTTCTTGTCTTTTTCAATGGCTAAGGGAAAACAAAGATGGAAACGTTAGAATTACCAAAATTTTCATGTGTTTTCAAGCTGTGTTGGAGGCTGCGGTAGACAGACCAATTCAATTATCATGGTTGTTTACTTTTGACCCAACCCTGGCGGCACGCAACCACCCTATCCACCATAATCCGCCTACCCTCCCTCCTTATCGTTCTTATCATCTTATCATCTTTCATCAGTTGTTTACTACTAATAGGGTTTTTTTTTTTATATTAGTTTCACAAGTATAATAATGAAACAGCCAAAAGGCTGTTTCCATACATTCAATGGGCAGGTTATTATCCACAATGAATGCAAAATGGTGGGTAGGGTACACATTCTTTTTCTAATATATGTTTCTTTTGGGGGCAACAAGCTTGGCCTAGGCCATCCCGCACAAATGGCAAAGTGACAAAGCAGTAGTATTAACAGATGAAGTCGCTCAGTGCAGAGTGAAGAAAATGATGTCATGAAATCATTTCGAGGCCCAACTTACCTCAATCATATCCAAGTATTAACATATTAATAATCCATCAAACAAAGATAGTAATAATAAGGAAGGAACTAAAGTTTCCATGGTCCAGCTGAGCCCAGCCCAGCCCCTAGTCCAACGAGCGCCGATGCCAAGACAAAGCTTACCCCATCGCAATACTTAAACAGCCTGACAACTGACATTACTGCACAAAAACCCCCACTGTCTGTGAATAGTTTATACTATTATGTGAAGTTAATTATTGAATTTGATGTAATACCAATATTCAAGTAAATAACTTCTTCTCTTATGGATATGCTTTATTCCAATAATACCTAATAATAATAATAATAATAATGCTAAATAATCTCTTTATTTTCTGAGGGTTTTGCGTGTTGTGGTCCAGCCCTTCCACACGTACAAAACAAGAATTAACCTCCAATTACCTCCTTAATCTCAGGCATTTTTAACTTTTTACTGCCCCTCTTTTGCTTACATCGCAAACCACAGGCGGAGTCGTCTAAACACCAACGAAAGAACACAGGTAGTGAGAGAGAAAGTTGCGAGAGAAAGCGAGAGAAAATGAACCAGGAATTTGAAATTATAAACTAAATAAAGTTAAGAAGGAGTGCAAAGGGAAAAAAAATATTGAAGGAAGTAGATTAGATAAATGGAGTAGAGAGGAAAGAGGTTCTTTCCTTAAGTCAAAGCTTAAGCAAGCTACAGAACAAAATAATCGTGGGCTAAAGTGGAAATTTTTATTTTTGGTTTGTTGTGAGTTTTTTGAGTAGCGATCGGAGAATCGGATGTTATATCCGATCGTCCTCGATCGGAGATGCTCCTTGGCGGAGGAGGAGAAGGTGGTGGTGGTGGTGGTGGGGGTGAAGGCGGAGGCAGGAGGTGGTGGAAGTAGCGGAGGAGGAGGAGGAGGAGGAGGAGGAGAAGAAGAGACGGTGGTGGTGGCGGTTGAGAATAGTAGAACAACTAGGAGTGTTGTTATAGTTGGAGTTGGAGAATGAGGAAAGGAAAAGGAAGGAACAATGGCTTGTTGCCAAATTCGTTGAGGATAATATCGTCTTGTCTAAAGACTGTTTCCACGAATGCTAGTAACGTCGCTTCCACGGTTCGCTCCGCTGGTGCTTCCGTTGCCGCTTCCATTTCCAATTCTTCTGAAGACCATAAAGATCAGGTTTGCCTCATTTTTTCGCTTTACATTTGAAACTCAATTGTTTAAACTACTATCTTTTTTTTTTTTTTGAAAATTTATACCATTATCTCTTTGTTTCCTTTTTTTTTTTTTAATTCTAATTTGCCTTGGTACTTGAAAACTTTTAGGTTATTCTAGTAGAGTAATCCAGTGTAAGTATATAGCTAATGGTGATTGAGAACTTAATTGCACTCAGTATATCTTGCCTTCATCAATTAAGTAACCCTGATTTTTTGGAGTGCTTAAACGCAGCTAGGTTAGTTGTCATTACTGATATTATAAGTCTATGAAAACAAGGACTAAAGAAAAGATATGAATTTTTTTGGCCTAAAAATCTTGCCTCTAATTTTCCCATTATGAAGTAGTGATAGAAGGATTGGTAAGGATATGTTGCTGAGGATTAATTGGCTATGCTCATATTGGAAATAGGGATTTGGAGTCAAGCTAAAGGCCTAAATTTTGATTGTTCCAATTTTTTTTTTCAAAAAAATCAGCATGTACACTTATCTTTTTATTTATGCCATGACTTCTTAAAGTAGGCTAATAAATCTACTCTACTATTTTTGTCAACTGAAACGTTACTATCTTTCACCCAAAACAATATTGATGTTGCTCTTGCTCTGTGTGTTCATGGGGTGTTAGTTTGGAAGATCTTAAAGTTAAGACACCTATACACCCCTTCTTGTCAAATAAATTAATGTAGATTGTCATGATGATATGTGACACCTGGAGAATTGGTTTTAGGAGAACTCACGCATGAATTTGCCTTTCACAATGTCTGATATCTGGACTGTTGTGCTTTGAGAAGCTTTAATATTCCTTCAGCAATTTTGTTAATAATACACCTCATGGAATGTGATAGATTTCTTCACATAATGGTGCTTATTAGGCTTAGCTTTAAATCGGCGATAAATAATATTTACACAATGTTTCTTTGATATGTTCCCCCTGCCCTAATAATTTGGGTAAATTCTAATTCAATGTCGTGATTCTGTTAGACTCTTTTGGGTGTTTCTGAATGCTTGCTTGATGCATTTGTTCCTATTTTCAATGCCACGTTTGCTTAGATGTGTTTCCATTATTTGTTCCGTGAACAGGTAACATGGGCTGGCTTTGACAGGTTGGAACTTGGTCCATCTCACTTGAAGCATGTTCTCTTACTTGGTTACCAGAATGGATTCCAAGTCCTTGATGTGGAGGATGCCTCTAATTATAGTGAACTGGTCTCAAAGCGTGATGGTCCAGTTTCATTCTTACAGATGCAGCCATGCCCTCTGAGTTCAGATGGTCAAGAAGGATTCAGAGCGTCACATCCTATGCTTTTGGTTGTTGCTGGTGATGACACCAATAGTTCAAGCTTGGGTCAGAGTGCTGGTCATTTGGCTGGTGCGTCCCGAGATTGCCGTATGGAGTCACAGTCAGGAAACTCTGTCAACTCACCTACAGCAGTTCGATTTTACTCTCTACGGTCTCACTGTTATGTACATGTTCTGAGATTTCGATCATCTGTGTGCATGATTAGATGCAGCTCCCGGATTGTAGCTGTAGGTCTAGCAACACAGGTAAGTGCTGGCTGATATAAATGGTACATTGGTGTGAATATGAACAGTCATTTTGCATGTTGGGGGTTTTGAAATGCAGATTAAAATGCTCAGAATTAAGCGTAGATTTTTTTCTTCTCATTTATACCTCTTTCTGATCAAAGTTTTGTTATAGTTTTTGGTTGTAAATGATCTCAGTCAGTAAGTGGTCTTAGTTTCTTTCATTGTTGTAACTAGAGCTGCAAGCATACTGTCACTCCAAAGCAGTATGTTGATCCACCATCGTTATAGGTATTAATGAAAGGCAATGCAATTGTATGAAGATGGTGCAAACCCTTTGTGTTAGTTTATTTATGGTGCTGTAAATCTCTTAATTAACTCTTCTTTTTGGTTAATGCAGATATATTGCTTTGATAGCCTCACTCTCGAGAATAAGTTTAGTGTCCTCACCTATCCTGTTCCCCAGTTGGCTGGACAAGTTGCTATTGGGGTTAATGTCGGTTATGGTCCAATGGCTGTGGGTCCAAGGTGGTTAGCTTATGCTTCCAATAATCCACCGTTGTCTAAGACTGGCCGCTTAAGCCCACAAAACCTTACCCCTTCTCCAGGCATCAGTCCATCAACATCACCAGGTGGCACTAGTTTGGTTGCTCGTTATGCAATGGAATCTAGTAAGCATTTGGCAACTGGGCTAATCAACTTGGGGGATATGGGGTACAGGACTTTATCCAAGTGCTGTCAAGAGCTACTTCCTGATGGATCTAATTCTCCCGTCTCTCAAAATTCGCTTTGGAAAGTCGGAAGGCTGGCAGGAACAGACATGGACAATGCAGGAATGGTTAGTTTTATGCTTTACCGTGGCATACTTGTCTTATTAGTTTATTAGAAAATCTTCTTTTTTTTGGATCTATATTTTAGATAAAAGTATATTTTTTCAAAAAATGAGGTTATATGTGTTGTTTCTGGATGATGTTATGGATTACTGATGCTTGCAGCAAAATAATGTGGAGGTGCACTTTCCAACAATTCCAAAATTCATTTAAATATTCCAATTTGATTCCTCTATGACTTTGTGATGCTTCAATTTAGAAGAACGCCAGCAGGCAAACATAATTTAATTTTTCTCTAACTCTTAAAAGGGTATTATGATGTCTCTGAACAAGTAAAATTTAATTGAATTAAACATAATTGCATTTAATAAAGGTACGGAGTCTGCACAAATAGAATGACCTGATTATGTTTTTCCAATCGTATTTCCAAATGGAACAAATTGAGCCTTGCTGTTTCATTTTGTATATGAAAGTTGCGAAGATGGAAGGGGAAGAATGAACTGAATGTGATGCTATCATAGATAGCGTTGAGTGGATGCATTAGCTGTCTATGCTTTGTCAATATGCTAGTAAGAGAGAATTTTACATGACGGATGAGATTTGAAACATTCTGATTACTAACACTTGTTAGGGTTTAAATGGTTGATTGTGTAGGTTGTTGTAAAGGATTTCATTTCTCGAGATGTTATATCACAATTTAAAGCCCATACAAGCCCAATATCTGCACTAAGTTTTGACCCCAGTGGG